GATTGTTTTACTGTCAGCGTAATTCATTTTATTATCATTTAGACATTGAAAATGGCAACTCCGAAGACAGGGGAAGCTACAGGGGAGCGGAAGGTACCGCAGATGGCCTTCAGCCTGCCAGTTCGTTGGCCTTTGCTGTCTTGGAGGTTGCTCTGTGCCTTTTGGTGAGGCAGGCTAGTTTTTTTTTTTTTTTTAATTCTTACATTTTTTAAACTCACTTCTGCACTGACCTGGGAGCACTCCTGGTTGCATGTATTTTTAGACGAGGATTTGCAGATCCCTCAAATTAATACAGCGCTGATGAGGAGCAAATCAGCAGCGCCGTTCCATTACAGGAGATATTCTCGGCTTCCAGTTGAATCCAACGATCTCATCAAAGTATGCTTTTTACGCGTTTTATGCATCTGTACGATGCAAAAACGCATTTGGTCGAGGAGTTGTCTGTGTGTGTTTTCGTCTCTATCAATTTTTCATTTCGAAACCTGCAAAAGCTTAATCTACATGCATGTACGGGCCCCCATCCCCAAAATAGGCGCTTTTTCTCACGTGGCTCCCATTTACGGGCCCGTCAAAATTTTTGGCGGGTAAACTGCTTGCTCGGGAATCAGAAAAGCTGGAAAGGTGAAATCTTAATAAAGTGCTTCTCATCCACATAGGTCTTAATGAGTTCAAACTCAGCCTCCAAGTGTACGTGGCTCCAAAAAAAGTAGGGGTCTGTGAAAATTTTCAGCGGGTAAGTTGCTAGCTCGATAATCAACAAAATTAGAACGTTGAAACTTCAAGAGGATGTTTCCGGTCCTAGTAGAATATAGTGACTTCAAGCCCTGCTCCCTGTTATGCGTGTTTCTCACAGGCAGGACCGTGAAAATTTTTGGCAGGTAAATTGCCAACTCGGGGACCAGAAAAGCTAGAAAGCTGAAGCTTTAAGGGGATATTTTTTTACTGTTCTAATAGCCAGCCTCAATTCTTTTAGCTAGAAGCATCTACCGAGAAATCAGCGCCGTTAGCGGCAAAAACCTCCGGGTAACTATGCAAAAACGCGCCTTCGTACCTGCAGTCGGTGCGCTGGCCAGTTATTGTTAAACAGATTTAAATCTATGTAGTAGCGCTGCCGCGTATTGGATTTGCTTGCTTTATTGATAAATTAAGGACGGGGAGACAATTTTGTAGAACAATTTTTTCGCCGTACAGAATGGTGGAAGGTTTCTCTACATTTCAGCTAGCATTTAAAGATTGCAGTACAATTGCAACATTTCTGAGTGCTGGCACGCACATGTGATCATTGATCATTGCAGATGGGTCTTGTCATTCTCACGCGTATTCCAATGCTGTGCTGTCCAGATGGTGTCATTGTTGTATTACCGAGCATCCTTTACTTGGTTCTGGGCGTTTTGCATGAATCCTCTCTTCTCGATAAGGTGCTTTTTTTCAGCTTACAAAACACTTTTCAATTAACCCTTTTACACCATGTCCCAGGCTAACCGCTTGAAGCAGTTAATATAATTCTTTCAGGAACAACTTGTTCCGGATGTTCCACCTGGACATGTCTCCGTAGCAGCAGCAGCATCAATGCAGGTCAGACCATCATGATATTAATAATACCTGAAGCAGCTTTTAAAATTCATAGTTTGGTTCTCGAGCTATGCAGCGAGCTACTTTTCCAGTTGCTTTGGGCAGTGTTGCATATCCCAGTAGTCAGTCTTTTAGTAATTTTGATATTTGTCTTAGCTCCTGAACGGATTACCAGCTCAATGGTTTTCGTGGCAGAGGCACATGACCCTTGTTAGGGTTCAGGTGCCTCGAGATGTCTTTGATCTGCTTTGAGCCATGTGACCCGTTTAGAATGTGAAGAATGAGTAAAATAGTGTATGTATATGTGCAGCCGTTATCAAAAAAGAAAAAAAATTAAGCATACGTCAGTTAGTTAGCATAAAATCTCTACTGCGGCAAGAAAAGTGATTTTTTCGCATATTAGCGATGTTTTATTTTCTCGTTTTAGGCTCTCAGATCATTGCTGTCGAAGGCACCAAGTGATGAGACATTTCCAAAATGGGTGTCAGTGATGAAAAGCGCTCTCGTTTCACTTCTTAATATGGCCGAAGGTGAAATTCTGTTGGAGAGTTTTATAGTATCTGACATAACCTGTCAAATACTGCTGCGCGAGTCGTTTTCAGTCAGTGAAGATCGCTATTCTTTTCCGTTTAACACTTTTCCAGTTCACGGCCATAAGAAAGTAACTTGTCAGTCATTAAAAGCATACGTCGTCTGCTTGAATCAGCCTTGCTGGGCCGATATCTGTATTTTCTTGATTGCTCCTTTGGATGCTTTATTCTTACGCTCAGCTTTCTAGCGCAGCTCGTCTTATGGCTGCGGTAGGGAGTGGAATATGAAATTTATTGGTGTCATCAAAAAGGTTACAGGGCAGCGTCCAAAAGATACTAAAAAGCAAAATGTAACAATCTCTACATAGTTTTTAGGACTCATATGAATTATCTACACTGTAGTGTATTCAGCTTGCTTGAGACTAAAAACAGCACCTGAAAATTTGGAGAATTTTTTGAGGAATAGTGTAAGATTAAAGATAATATCGACGAATTTAGAAAGATCACATTATAGTTACCGCTGTACGACATACCATTTGCCGGGCATATTTATGAAATAAGACAGTTTATAAGCCAGGATTTTTGGGTTTCGAGGATAAAAGTGGGGAGGTGATCGTCAAGAAAAAGTCGCAGTTTTCAGGAGGGTAAAGCTTATAAGTAAATTATATTATTTTTCTACAGACGGCAAAACTGACAGTGCAGTGATGATGTTGGCTGTTGCGGTATTTGTTACGTCATCGCCACGTCAGGTAGTTGTCGGCAGCAGTGGTCTTTTCACAAGAATCTGCAAAATGTTCCATACGTGCATGGAAAACGAGCATAAACAGGTGAGAGCGTCATTTAACCTTGAGGATCAAAGTGAGATCTTAAGGAGCTAAAAAAAGAGGACTGCTTAGGGCAAGCTGCGGAATCCATTCACACATTCACTAAAAAAGGTGCTTGAACTAATTGGCCTTGTAAACCCAGCGGATCGATAAGTTGCAGGTTGTGGCGAAGTGCTTGCAAAGCGTTGCTTCTATATTTGGTCGCCGCGAAGTGTGTTATCCATTCATCAGAGAGCTTGTCCCGAAAATACTGAATAGGATCCGTCCATTAGTAGCGGTTCTTCCCAGTGGAACTTCAGCAGTCTCGAAATCCGATGAAGATGTAATTATCATACAGGAAGCAATGCGTGCTTTGGAAATGGCGCTTTCTGTTGCTGAGCCAAAAAAACGTGAGTTTCGCATCTGTACTACATGAGCAGTATTATAGCATTAGAGAATTGATGAATACAGCCTTATCGTCTCGATTTTCTGATTTAATTTATAGCTCATTGTCCGAGACAAAGGCTAGGACGCATTTTTTTTTTCAGTTTACAGAGACACTCGATTTGGCGCGACTTCTAACACTTTTTCAACAGCAGCCACTTTTTAATAGGGGTGTGAAAAAACTTTCATCAGAGAGAGTTATTTATGCATATGTTTGCTGACGGCAACAGTGCTCTCACTTGGCCAGTGCTGGAGCTTATCGCACATGGGCTGAATGCGACCAACCGTGCACTTACCAGTTGAAAGATGCTTACTTGTTATCGTTTTTGATGTTTTGTGCTGTGTAACAGCAGCACAAAATGCTTATTGCCATGGGATTGTCTGTGTGTGTTTGTGTATGTATCTGAGTGCTTTTTGTCCCGCACTTTCAATTCGGGAACCATAAAAGCTAGGCGGCTGAAATTTTAGTAGAGCGTTCCTCGCCCACGTACAGCCCCATATATTTAAATTCAGCACTCCCATGCCCGCAGGTAACACGTACGGCCCCGTAAAAGTCCTGGAGGGAAAGGTATTATTTCGGGAACCACGGAAGCTAGGAAGCTGAATTTTATGGGTATATCCCAAGCCTACGTGCGACCGAAGAAATTTAAATTCAACTTTCCTGTGCGCTTAGGTAATATATGTTACCCCGTAAAAATTTTGGCAGGAGAATTATTATCTCTGGAACCACGAAAGCTTGGAATCTGAAATTTGGCGAGAATATTTCCTACTCACGTGCGATCTCGTGGATTCAAAATTAGCTTTCAGTTAAGGCCAGGTTTCACTCACTCCGCCCTCCCGCCCGTGACGGTTTTGGCTGAGAAATTGCCGCCTCAGAAGCCATAAAAGACAGGAAGCTGAAATTTTGCGAGAATATCCTTTGCCCACGATCTCGCAGAACCAAATTCAGCTTTCATGTACACTTGGGTCTATTGTACGGCCCCGCGAATGCTTTCGTGGAAAAAATTATTATCTCGGAAACCAAAAGAGATGCAGGGCTGGAACTTCAAGAGGATGTTTTCTGACTGTGCAGACATCTAATGAGTTCGAATTTAGCTTCCGAGTATGCCGAGCTTTTATGTATAACAACGTGAAAGTTTTTATGCAAAATTCATTAGTTCAGAAACCGAAAAACTGAGAGGTTGAAATTTTTAGTGATAAGTTTTGTAGCTTAGCAGCCAGATAACATATCGACTATTTTTGCACGCACGAAAGTGTAAAGCAGTTAAATTTTTAGCAGGCAAATGTCCGCTGGACGGAACTGCGCAAAACGCATGATCGCACTGGCTTTCCTAATGAACGGTGTTATTTGTTTTTTTATGCGTTTTTTTTTTTTTTTTTTGCATCTTTGCAATGCGAAAACGCGTATTGTGGAAGATTTGTCTGTGTGTGTGTTCATCCATCTGTAACGATTTTTCATCTCGAGACCTACAAAAGCTACAAGGCTGAAACTGTGTTAACTTAATCTGCATGCATGTACTGGTTCCTGTTTCAAAATGGGCGCTCTTGCCCACGTGCTTCCCACGCATGTGCTCGTGAAGGTTTTTGGTGGGTAAGCTGCTAACCCCGGGACCAGAAAAGTTTGAAAGCTGAAATTTTAATGAAATGTTTTCTGACGGTCGTGGTGGCTAGTCTCAATTTTTTTAGCTAGAAGAATCTGCCGAAAAAAATACAGTGCCATTTGCGAAAAAAACATGCGAGGAACTGAGCAAAAAAAACGCATCTTCGCACCGGCTTTTGGTGTTCTGGCCAATTATCTTCACTGCTGTGCGACATTACATTGATGTTGCATTTTCTGTCCGCAAAATGTTCTCCAAATTAAAATTTTTTCCAGGATTAGCAATTGTGAATTTGATTGTGCAGCTGCTGGGAGCATTTTTATGTGAAGAGGCAGCTACACATTACAGACATCTGTCGGCACCAGCTCGTCGGTTGCACGACTATGCATTGCATAGGCTGAATGCAATTGGTCCCACTCATCCTAAAGAATTCAAGAGAGTTCTACACTCGTTTCCTGCTCTGAAACTGAAGTAAAATACCGCGATTTTTGTTTGCTTTAATTTTTAGTTGATGTCCAGAACTGTGTTTCAGCTATAAAATTCATCGAATTGCCTTCTTTCATTTGCTAAATTTTATCTGAGATCTGACAAAGTGCAGATAAATTGTTACTTATGGAACCATATGAATTCAAAAAAAAACTTTCAAAATTACGTAATCGCTTCCTGAAAATTTAGCCTATAATCTCCGGAGGTCTAAGTAGTCTTAAAAGTTTTTTTTGCAGGATTGAAGCTTCGATAAGGCATCAGAGCGGCCGTGTGGTCGCAGCTCAGCAGGCGCAGCGTGCCAGTACTGCTCGAAAATGTGAACAATTGCCAGCACCAGTTCCTAAACCCGCTGCTATTAAATTGAAAGTGGATTTTAGCACTTTTGGCTCAAACTAGTGGTGCATTGTTGTTTGGCATATCCAGAACAAGTAAGTTGTTGCTGTTCATTTTCCAGGCATGCTGTATTAATTCCTCTAGGAGAAAATGATAAAATCAGAAATTTTTCCGTTACAGGACATTTTCAAATAGTTGGCCAGCGCACCGACTGCTGGTGTGATGATGCGTTTTTTGTACAGTTCCCTGCAGGTTTTTGTCGTTATTGGTACTGTTTTTCCGGCAGATGCTTCTAGCTAAAAGAATTGAGACTGGCCACTACGGCTGTGAGAAAACATCCCATTAAAATTCCAGCTTTCTAGCTTCTCTGATTTCTGAATTAGCAACTTACCAGCCAAAAATTTTCACGGACCCGTGTGTGAGGAACCACGCACACCTGGGGCTGGGTTTCAACTCGCTAAGCCCTATGTGGACGAAGAACATCCCCTTAAAATTCCAGCCTTCTAACTTTTCAGGTTCCCAAGTTAGCAACTTACTCCCGGAAAACTTTCGCGGGCCCGTGCGTGAGAACTGGGCAAAAGTGACCGTTTTGGGAATAGGGCCCGTATATGCATGTAAATCAAGCTCCCAAAATTTCTGTATTGTAATTTATGTAACTCTCGGGATGGAAACTTGCTACGTACGCAAATACAGACACACACACACACACACACAGCCCCTCGACAATACGCGTTTTTGCATTTCATAGGTGCAAAAGACGCATAAAAATGCAAGTAATTTTTTTCTGGCACTTGCGGCATTAAAGACATTAGGCTCAAGGAAGAGTAAAATAGGTATTTTGAAATGCGTCACGTAATAGATCAAATAATGATTAATGGTTTTTTGTTAAAAGTAGGTTAAAGAAGAGTTGCGTTACTGTGACGCAATACCTGGTTCAAACTTTGGCCACCCTACCCTCATTGGATTTTCGATCTTTGCCCCCTGGGGTATAAAAGCACTTCTTCCCATCGCCGGGAACGCCACTACTCATCCACCACTGCGACCTATTTTTATTTAACTTATACTCCTATTCTGGGGAGCTTCAGCTGCCCAGAGCGTCACCACCTTTGTATGCACCCTTTTTAACTTACTATGTATTAATAAATATGTA